GGGGACAGGGAAGTCGACAGTTGTCGATGCTCTGCTTACTTTTGCAAAACGATGGGGTCGAGATGGTAGTGTCGAAACCTTGGCTTTCACAGGCGCTGCTGCAATTAATATACACGGAAAAACAATGCACAGTGCCAGAAACCTCCAAATGCATGGAGCCGAACCACGTTCAGTTCCTTCGACTGAAATGAAGACTCGTTTTGGGCTCGTCGTGCTGGTCGTCATAGATGAAATTTCAATCACGCACCAGACACTGTTAGGCGGTACCGATAGCGTGTCCAGATCGATGTCGAGAACACCCCAAAAGTTCATGGGCGGCAGACATGTGCTTTTCATCGGTGATTTACTTCAGTTACCTCCTGTAGGAGGTCATCCATGTGAGATAATCATGCAGCGGTGAATGTGCTTGATAAATATCTATCTAACTTGAGTGGTATGTTTGTAGGCTTTGAAGCTCCTCACGACACAGCAAATCGGTTGCGCCACGCTGGCTACGCTATATATTCTGCCATTAACTTCGTGGTGTTCTTGGTGAAGAATATGCGAGCACGACTAGATCCAGTTTATGCAGAAATTCTCGACAACCTAAGGTGGGGTAGGATATCGGACTCGCAGTTGGAAAAATTGAACTGCCGCGTCAACGAACACGTGGAAGTACCCCCGACATGGAATAGCAGTGCGTTCTACCGGCCTGTTGTTGTTTGTACAAACCGAATGCGCTGTGCAATAAACCACTTCATGATATTTAAGATCGCGGGAGTATATGGAGCTACTGTGTTTGAGTGCATGGCGCAGCCATCAGCAAGGTCTAAGGTGATTGTAGAAAACATTGCCAATGCGACTAACGACGTGACGGACCGGGTTCCGATGAAGTTATTATTTTACATTGGCATGCCAGTAATGATAACACGTAAGCATCCTAGCCTAGTTGACGCTGATATCATCGCGAACGGTGTAATTGGCAATATTGTTGGGATGTTCCCGTCGCCCGGAAGCATAGACTCTACAAGTTACACCGTAAATGGTGTCATTATTCACCGCTTGGGCCAGCTCCCCGAGCTACTGCTGATTAAAGTTCATGGGAACGAAAGCACGCTCATTACAGGTTTTCCAGAGGGTGTGATCGGATTACCACGGCTACACGTGTCACTTCAATTGAAGCGATTCCCAAATCTGGCTCAGACAAGTGTCACTGTGGACCAGTTTACCGTCGTTCCTGCTTTCGCTTGCACTACTGAAAAACTACAAGGCCAAACCTGCCACGATGGAGTCGTTGTCACTCCGCTCGACCGTCGAAAAGGTATCCCAAAGCAAACGTTCTACGTAGCCTTGTCGCGAGCAACAAGGTTGGCTGGACTCACACTTACCGATATTGTAACGAGGCAATATCTGGATAACTTCCGGCCAAATGAAGCCACGGTGACCAAGATGAACCGACTTATTGAGATAGTTCGCCTGCCGCTGTATGCCCCGCTGTCAGAACTGGTACGATTTAATAGTTTTTGGAAGGCTCGACAGCACACATAAAAAACTTATCGTGCATGCACTTCAATGGTAACCTACCAACTTTACCAAAATACAATTTAACTTCCCGCTTGCCTAACTAGATCCCAATAAACAGCTCTGCGTGGTTGAAGCAAGATACTCCCCAAAACCAGTCGAGTCGCTCTGGTCACTTAAGTACCATTTACAGTTACTCAGTGCGCTCTTGTTGTCCTGAACGTCGCAGCTCTCTTGTGTACTCACCATATTCTACTATTCCGGTATCATTTTCTCGGCCGCTGATATCTCAGACTCCAGTGTTCGTATGTTCAACGTCGATTTCATTAACATCTGGCCGCGCTTCGGCAACCGCAACATGATCCTCTGGAGCATTGCCGCCATGATCGTTATATCATCATTATACCCATGAGTGCAAGCCGCCACGCTATTCATACTGTCGCCGACCAGCTCCACGTCCCGGTAGACATCTCTTTTGCCGCTTTCCAAACGATGCAGGCTACCACAAGAACATCTACGGACACAAACACAACTACCAGCTGCACCACTGCTGGCAAACCTCCACCAAGCGGGAGTTAACAACAACACCACCTAAATGGCTATCAAGACCACTTGTGGTGGCCATTTGTTTTGCTGTAAATTCGTGTTTGTACCGAATATTTTGTACACTGTACCACAAGTGGTGTTGATAGCCATTTAGGTGGTGTTGTTATCAATTCCCCACCAACCTCTCTAGCCTATCCCGTAGATTCAGTGACAGAACCACCAGATCGGTTTGATTAGGACATTCCGCTGGTCAACATCCACAGATCCCTGTCGACCTTCCACCTCCACCCACGGCACGTCGCTTCCGGAACCAGTGTCATCGCAGGAACCACCCACAACGCTCAGTTGTCCAATATGTACGGCCAGTACACGCACAGTGTCTGGGGCACTGTCAACCACGTTGCCAAATACATCCGACACATCGTCGTTGGCATCACCCCTCTAGTGCCGCTCGACACACTGTCACCACCGCTAAACATTGACACCTCGCCGCTCGTCGGAAGGCTGCTAACGCCACTTGGCACAGCACGCGACCTGCTGCTTTAGATACATGCGCTCCCAGACAGAATTGACACCTAACTTCATTTGAAGCATCACCAAGCCCGACACATCGTCAACCGATTGCTGTCGAGCATCTGGAAGCGTTGCCACTTGCTAAATCTCTCACGGTTCCCTCGCTACCGCTGTCAAGCAACCCCATTTCAGACACAATGCATTATGAAGAATGGAAACCAGAAGAAAGGAGTACCCTCGGATCATACGCTCAGCGTATGATAGCCGTGTATTACACTGTTTTATCGAAACCTTTCAAATATGATGAAACCATTCATTATTATTGTTCACTATTTATTCATTTTAGTTTCTAGTTTGAAGCACGACTGGAAGAAATGGCAGGATGCAAGAGGAAGATTCGCGCTCCCACAGCGAATGCTCCTACGAAACCAAGCTCCAACAAGAAGCATCATACCACACTCGGTAACTCAGAAAACACTGTACTGGCAATACACTTGCTAACGCGTTTAATACAGGGAAATCACACGTAGCTACTCGTCTGCCGGATCCCGGAACGGTACTAACCACAAAAGAAGTAAAAGATGCGTGTGTTGCACTACAAAACAAATTAGTCCGTGACAGACAAGGCCGCCGGCAGAACGGAAGACGCCTAAAGTCGGAGCCATTTCATCTTGCTGACAACCAGAAAGTGATATTCGCTAAAACTTACGTGGCGGCTAAGAATCATGATACACATGTAGATTATGTTCGTTTGTCGAACAGCTGCCACTTCCCTACGTTTGCTGGCAACTCGGACGTGCTAGCCGCCATGGAACCCGCCATCATCGCTGAAATGAAGGAAGCCCTAGTTGAACAACGAGGCATTGAAACCAAGGACCGACACAATTCAAGACTATCTTTACAAGGGACATTGGCTAAGGTGCAACTTCTTCATCAGCGAGAGATTGCAAAGATGAATCAGAAGGTGGAAACGTTATTAGCGCATCTTGCAACATCTGAAAATCTTGTGGAAGAATTACGCAAAGATATAGCGGTTGCCCAAGAACAACACCAGTGTGACGTTCACCGTGATAGTCACAACACTGCGCCACAACAATCACAGTCAAATGAACGGAACCCGCAGGAAACTGGATGTCTCGCACGTGACCCCCCCCCCCCCCCCCCCCCCCCCCCCCCAGCCTTTAAATTACAGCAAGAAGAGAAGATTAGGACCACAGGATATGGTCTAGCGTCGCTACTGGAACCGCTGAACTACAAACAAGTTACGTTGGACGAGAAAGCCCGTGCTCAAGACAAAGAACGCCATCGCCTCGACGATCGCGCAGCCCTAAATGAGAGAATGGAACCATGTACCCTGGACGGGCTTGCCAGAGATCAAGACAAAAAGCAGGACGCTACCCGATTCCTTGCAATTGTGGACGGGAAGAAGACCTGTGACGGCCACGATTCCACAACTGCAGAATGGAAAAATCGGTGTGAAGTTGAGAAAGAAGTAGCACGAGCTTCACAGACCGCACTGGAGAATTCACTTCGTGATGCTGCAGAATTACGTATTATAATAGCGCAACTGAAGATGCGGTTACTTTCCGAATCGTCTGTTGTGATGGATCAAGCTGGTACTTCGAAGTAGTTACCAAGGATCGTAGCCATGGTAGTCATCCATGTAAGTGTTCCAGTTCATATTCAGTATTAATATCCATTTCAATCAATCTCGTTTTACGTCTAGAAGCTGAAAGATCCCATCTCGCGAAGAGGCCTCGACAGAGGAATCGAGCGCGGTACAGTTGAAGTTTGAAACATCGTTACTGCTCCTGTCTTGCTGATGAGTTTTACCTTAACTTTTTTCAGACGAGATCAGGAGTGTGTCTTGGACGACCGATTAGTCGGGTGTGTTAGAACAAAACCAGTAATTCGACTGAATTGCAAGCACATCATTCACGCAAGACTGAAGCATGAGGCAAAGCATGGGCCAACGGATTGAGTGAGTCGCTCACTGAGCGAACTGCTCAGTGAGCGACTCACTCAATCCGTTGGCCCATGCTTACGCGAGCTCTACATATATCGGGAACTTGCAAGTCGGTTAGGTTGCAGCGGAGACTATGCAGCGTTGCAGACGTCTATTGCTCATTCCGTCACTTAGGCATGAGTGCTCTTCGGTGCGACTTGTTACACGTACAGTAAGCATGAGTGTGAACTTCGGTTGCTGTCTGCGATTCGGCCTTGATCGCTGGCTGAACTGTTTCATTCAAATGTTCCACCCACCGCATGTAGCAAGCCGCCTAACTGGGGTCGCGGAGAAGCAAAATACTATATTCACTATGTAAGCATCGATAGAGCGAAACGGGCGAGACACGGGTGGTAGCACCGCAAATTTCGGGTGGAAGGCCAGAGGACAACTGATTGCACAAGTACGAACCACAGATTGTCAGAGCTAGAGCTAGATGAAGTAGGCTAGAGCACGGCAGTCTTAATTCATTCTCCATTTTACCTCATCGTCCGCAGTCCCTCTCAAGCACGGCCTTCGGACCCGATTCGTCCCTCTGCAAGCCATGCGTGTCAGGCTGCCATCCCGAAATCCAGCCACAACGCTTAGCAGGGCTACTTTCATCTGGATAGGAAGTTTCTCTTTCGTGAGAAGCAAGAACTCACCGTCATGATCTTTGATTTCTCTAATCTCATCTTCACTGAACATGGAGCCATACCATGACGTGAGGCAAAGCTGGGAGAGATTGGTCGCCATACGAAATGTGTGATCTCTCAAACACTGGGTAAGTGAAGGGTACCGTAAGGTCTCAGAAAGATTCATTTTCTTCACTAGCCAGCGGCGTAATGCTCGTTGTACTCGGACACAGACACATCAAAATCATAGAGACCAAGATCCTCCAGTTTGGGGCCAAAACACTCAGATCTAGACCCTCTTCGACTCTTCGAAAAGCGTGGCGCTATGAATAGCTTCGTAATGTGTAGTACTTGCAAGCCTTTCCCGATCTGACAAAAGGCCGTACACGAGCGAATTATTCTCCACCGTTAAATTGTAAATTATGAGCTCACGGAGGTACTGTGACTGGCATTCTTGAAACAATTTTTGTGTTGGATTGTCACGAATAAACACAGCTCCGTCACCAATCTTCACTGTGCATAAACCGTGCCCTGGGACGACGATACGCGCCATGTTTGTCGTGGTGCCAGTACAGGTATAGCGAGCTGCTCGGCAGTGGCATGCTGTAGTAGCCACGAGGACAATGTCTTCACTACTGTGAAGAAACGATGTCCCTTCTTGCATATCAACAATTCCATACTCAAACATATCTGATCCGATCGCAGGTTCGGGAAATTTAAATTTTCGCACATGGTCAATCACATCCAAATCTCTTTGTGTCATGGAAGCGCTGGAAACCCGCAAGTTCCATTCATTGCTGTGTGTGGACCCACAACACACCGCGTACACAAGCCAACCCCAATCGGATATTGGCTCGCTAACTAGATCATTTAAATCTAGAGTCACGTTAAGTGCCGACTTGATGTTTGCAATTGCAGAGCACACTGGTTCGACCATGTAGGAAGATATGTTCCAGCAAATTACGGCGAGCGGAACACTTTGTGCACATCGGAATACTTCTAGGAGGCTACTAGCGCTACCGCTCAGCATTAAACTTAGCATGGAGCCAGCATGCTGCACATATTGGCCAGTCATCTCCCACAAGTCCAGACTTAGCTGAAACTGTGTCTTGGCTGTTTTTGTCACAGTTACAAAAAGTCCCATAGTTTCTGGTTCAGCAAGATCACACATCGAGATAGCCACTGTTCCTGCCAGTTGCTCCAAAGACGAATCGATAAAGTCAAATCCAGAGGCAGGCCCTGACGCTGTTTCAATAAAAGCCGCTTTGCCTTGAACGAAAATCTTTTGAACGATGTATGAGACTCCAGCATCAAGAAGCTTTCGCAACTGGGTTTTGCACTTTTTGTCAGCTTCTGGGGGCTCGAGGTCTCCATAAACCACAGCATGAGGAGTATTAATCGCCCAATCTATGCTAAACACGTACATCCGCTCGGCCCTTTCCAGACTTATCGATTCTAACTTTTTCTTGGCTCGCCCAAATGGAGTGGAGAGTGTCGATGTGTCGTTAGGTAGCCCCAATAAAGCACTCCATGAGACTTGACTGTGAGTCTAGGCGCCAGGGTGCAGTGTCCCCACCACCTGAAGTTCCCACAGAAGTTGGTATGTGCATTCCTTCGTTTCAAACATATAAATTGTCGTGATTTCATCGTTTAGTTCACGCACAATTTTCACGAATGCATCGCTGACCACAATGAACAGAATAGTTAAAAAGTTCAATAGCTTCTCGGAGTTGTCGTTGCTGTTCGCGATCCTCCAAAGTCATAGAGCATTTCAGTGGAAGGACAATTAGATTATAAATCCGATACCCTCGTGGCTTCTTCATCTTGTCCTCGTAAATGAAACCCGAAAAACTGGCCGAGTTAAGGTAAATCGTCTTATCATAGTCGCACGCACAGTTGCAAGCCAAGGCTCCAGGAACTCCCATTTGCTCATGGTGCGGCTCTTTTCTGGAGGAAAAAAAAGTGAGATTTCCCTCCTGGCCATACTAGAAAGGTATTGACACATACCCCAGAGTGATGATCATATAAACAGTAACCTTTCTTAGTAAAAGAAATCGTTTTATGCGTAAAAATAGCTTTCTGTTGTTTTATAAGTAATCTAATAAAAAAATATTATTTTTGCCTATTCAGCAACAAGAGAAATCGCAATGTATTCACATTAACAACATTTCGACGCTTTTGCGTAGTAGCTCTGGCTAATGAAACACCAGCCAAAAAACTAAAAGACTTCCCAATCCTCAACTGTAGCTCACCATCGGTCTGCAACAGCAATACCAAGCAGTCAGATTTCCACCAATTCCACCTTAACAAACACCCAGCACTTACTTGTCAAGCAGACTCTGTCGCTCTTCAGATGTGGACCCACTGAGGTCGTAGCTCTCGATCTCGCTCTTCTTTGTCTCCTTGTAGTAGATTACCCAAGATGCCAGGAAGAGGGCCCCATACAGCGCGGCAGATTCGAAGATTGGCGCGGGGCTTTCAACGCTCTTGCTGATCTTCATGTACTGGGGTTGTACCTTCACCAAGATACCCACCGATAGCAGGAATAGGAAGCCACATAGAGAGAGCAGCGAGCATGTCAACGCACCTGTGAATGACAATTAAGATTAGTATGAGCAACAATTGTATTATTCACGGTGAAGACGTACAGAAGATTTTATTGGCCATGGTGACCGGGTTGTGGTGGTTATTATAGAGGTGAAGAAGAAGGAGGGGCCCGGAGTCGAGTGCAAGGACGTCGGGAAGCTGCAATGAGGCTGCGGAGCTGTTCGAAATGGATCTGAGTAAAACGGAATAGGAGACCTTTGTGCGACGTTTCTGTTTCGAAGTCATGATTGGTAGATATTGTAAGGAAATCGGATGTTGGTTGGTAGATATTGAATGTCCGGAAATAAGTAGGTTAGCATGTCAATTCAGGGTACAATTCACTTGGGCGTGTGGGAGAGCTCGACAAAGATACGACTGTTTTATCGGAACACAAATAATGCTTAAATTTTATCCAATAGGAGACAGTTGAAGTCTGTGACTTTTTCATCCAATCCATGAGCGGCTATTGTCAATACGTAACCGCATTACGAAGAAGACCACGTAGAGCTCAAGTTGCCAGCCATGTACGACTTCTGCCTCACGATTCCGGTACGTTCCCGTGCTCTCCGGCGCACCCACCTACCTCATTCTCATTGTCCTTGTCTTCTCTACGCATACATGCAACTCGGATCTCCAAACTCGTTCTAAAACTGACGCTATCGTCTTAAATTCGCATTCCGGTGGTGTCTTCTTACAGTATGGTATGCTACTGGGTCTGGGCGGCCTTATCGGCTTCGTCAGCACTGGAAGCACCATGTCACTTGCTGCCGGTGGCTTGTCAGGCGCCTTCCTGAGCTTCGTGGGCTACTGCAGCTACAACGAGTACACGCAGAGCCCCGTGACATCCAAGCTGTGGCCTGCCATCTCACTGGCCGTGTCGGCACCGCTCACAGTCGTCATGGCCAACCGTTACAACAAGACCAACGCGTTCTTCCCGGCAGGCTTCGTAGCCGCCTACAGTGCCGGCATGTCCATCTTCTACGTGTGGATCCTCACCAAGAAGAGCAAGCCGCAGTACAAGAAGAAAGCATAAAAATGAGGTCGACTAGTGTTATTCTGGTCAATACACACCATTTTTCAGTAATTTTTAAAGTTGCTATTGTAATGATAAGCACTAAAAAAAATGGGTTTTAGTGTTTTCATTGTTACCAGAGCTGGAATACCCCTGCTACGACGGTGAGCTGCTTATGTTAATACAGCAGAGCGTTCCGAATGGACGGAGACTGTCGCGATCGTCTTGTAAGAGAATTAGAGGTGGGGATCGAGTCTTTGGAACTGTCATCGCCTAAGTTCGCACTGTTCGCCTTGGCAGCTTTGTACTGCTTAGCGAACGCCACGATGTCCCGTACGGCGTTAGCCAGCCACTCTCGATGTAGCGCACTTGCTACCTGTAGATCCAGTGACCGCGTCGGCGTCACGAGCGACAAACACGACTCCGGGTCTACTGCAACAGCCGCAGCAGCCTTCTTGTTGCCACGACCGAAAGACCCCGCACTTCCGCTCAATCTCGAGTTGTCTGGCGCTTCAATGACCTCAATCTCGTCCACTGCTAAGGACTCGACGCTGCGCTCGCCGTGTTTACGTCTCCAACGTAGTTGAAGTGGCGTAGTCGGGTCGTACAGTAAACGCGAGGCGTGAGGCCGACCACGTCGTCCGAACTTTGTCACGAGCGTATCATTCACCACACTGGTGGCTAGTGTCAACGTAACAGTTAGACGTTGCTTGCGTGCTGTTAATAGTCGATGTTGCTTAGCGCGAGAGTTGATCTCGCGTTGTACTTGCAGCCCCAAGGCGTTCAGTTGGGGGTACAATTCTTCTTTAGTCACTTCTTTCGCAGTGTACTTTGACAATAGAGAACGTAAGTGTGCTTTGGCCCACGGAAGCTCGTGCATCATTGACTTGACGTAACGTAGTTGTCGTAACATGATACCGTGTTGTGCTGGTCCGAGTTCCATAAAGTTAGCAGCACTCATGAACGGGACGCGAATACAACGATCGTTCCAGTGCCAGACGACAAAGCGCACAGGCTTCTTGGCGATCACGAGCTCTGGGACGCCGTCACTCGAGCGTTCGCGGACACGTAACACCATTTGAGTCTGAGTTGAAGGCACAGAAGAAGGTGGCGATGATGGGGAGGAGGATGTCGGTGATGACGTCGAAGGTTTAGTGGGAAAGCTAATCGACTTTCGCTTGCTGTTGAAGGCGAGAATCTGCTGTTTTGTAGCCGAAAAACTCCTACTGTTGCGACGACTTGATGCCGTACTAACAGCAGCAACGTGGTATGCGCTCATGGACTTACGACGTGCTGCTGAGTGTTTGCTTGTTTTGGTAGAACGTGGTGAAGTTAACGACGTTCTACCAACATCAGACGCAGTAATACTCGAACGATGTTTGCTTGGCTTGGTAGAACCCGGCGACGCTAGTGACGATCTACTCAAGTCAGCTGCAGCAATGCTTGCACTTGAGATCAGCGGAGCGAATCCAACAAAAGCAGTGCTTTTGAAAGGGCTCCGCTTCATAGAGAACGACTTACGTCGTAGTGGTACCGTGCAGGTGATCTTTGGGTTTTGACTGTAACGTCGGAGTAAACCTGGACTGGGAGCTGGAGGTTCAACTTCTTCGTCCTCCAAAAGCTGAAGTAATTCCTTTTCAGGGAACTGGAATTTGAGACGCGAGCTCTTTCCTACACTTTTCGACGATGACTTGCTGGTAGACGAGCTGCCGTTGTCAGAGTCGCTGCTGCTGTGTCCACGTGGGAGCTGGGGGACCTGGACACCCTTGAGGACCACGTTGCCCGTCAAGATCGGAAGGAGCTCGCGTAGTCGAGCTGTGGGTGGAGAAGTTGCACTCTGTATCTCCTGGTTGAGCGTTTTATCGACGTCTTCAATCTCTGCTTCGATACTATGATGCGTGTTGGTATCGTTGTCCTTCTTTGAGGTACCTGCTTCATCATGTTCATCTTCGACCTGGTTGGACATCTCCACTACACCTTCCGTGATCCTGTAGCCGATACTGTCTTCTTCCTCGCTAACGTCGACATCAACGACGGCTTCACCCAGTCTACCGTTTAAATCTGTGTCATTAACGGTCTCCTGCTGTCGAGTTTCCTCTTCTTTAGGGTTTTCATCGTGTTCTTGTTGGTCACATGGATGGCTGTAACTGTGGTCGTCATGTTCAGGAACTTCGTGACTGTCGCCTCTTGTTACGCATTGCTGCACCAGATGCACGAGCTGGTGAACCTGTGGACTACGCAAGACACGAAGCATCGTGAGACCAATAGATTACTTCTGTTGTGTAGGGTATTCATACTCCTTGGGATAGTTGCGACCAAGTTCCTGCACCTGCATCAACATAGCAGCCCAAACGTTGGCGTGCTGGAGACAATCCGAGCTATAGACAGTGGCTTTCTTTGCCTGCTCGAGTTTAGCGTGCATGAGCAGCTCAGTAAGCGCTTCACGACGTTCATACTTGGGACATCGAGCCAGAGCGCCCTCCACTGCGTCAATAGCCTGTTGAACAACATCGATGCAGTCTGTGGAGCTGTCAAAGATGGCGTTGGAGGAGGTGATGGCTTTCTCCTGCTGTGAGATCTCGGCTTCATTCTGCCGTGGCGCACAGCTCGTCTCCATCTTGGCGAGTGACGATAGTGCTAGAAGAGTGTCATCATCGCTTTCGAGTCCGTCGCTGTCGTACGCCAGAGTCTGCGCCTTCGGAGGCGAAGTGAGTCCGCTTCTGTACGCTAGACGCGACGAAGACGGGCTGCTCGTGCTGATGCTGGGGTTGTTACTCGCCATGCCCAACTCGATTGACGAGAAATGAACAATTGAAGAGCGCGGCTCGTTTCAGATGCGACGCTGTTGGTAGGTCTCTAAATCGGAGGAGCTGCTCTATTGTGTGGTGGCTGCTGTTGTATGGGCGACCGTAATTAAAGCACGTTCCCATCGTAGCGTACAACTGCTAGACACGCATGAGACTGTGCTAATCCTAGCTGCTGATGACTGGCTGGGTATATTTACATTGCGCTGGAAACTCGGCGGAGCAATGACCAGCAAACGGCTTTACTGGTTTTAGCTACCAAGTCTGTGCTGATCGAGAAGCGCTCGAGCAAGGCACTGGATCACTAAACCTTCATACTAAAGAAACCGTTACATGATGTTGAAGTTGATGTACCCATTTCATCGAAGACGACGCTGCGATCGGCAAAAAATGGTTCGACACAGTAAATTACGGTGAACAAGTGTTCAGCTCCGTAATTTACAGCAGTTACTTACAAGAGCACCTCTCCGACTTCAGAAAGCCTAGGGTGGACAAGGAAATCGACTCAAGTGGGCCTTCAACCGTTGTTTGTTGATCATTCTATATAGTACGACGCCCTGGCAACCTGTTTGAGCTGCTGGAGACGCAGACGCTATGTCTCGCTGCCTAACTAGACTTTCGCCAACCAACTGCATCCACAATGAGTGACACAGTTAGTTGGCTGGGGCCTTTTTCTTCTTGGGTCCACGGGGAAGCTGCACGCCCAGTGCACGGTTCAGCTTAGAGATGATCTGACCGTTGGGAATGGCGCGTCCTGACTCGTAGTCTGCGATGACCTGCGGCTTCTCGTTAATGAGCGTGCCCAGCTGCTTCTGGTTCATCTTCTTGGCCATACGAGCCTTCATCAGCGCCTGCGACAGACTGCGGTCCACAGCGTCGTGCTTAAAGTTGTCCGTGTCCTCCTCAAGCTTACGCATGTTGACATTAGCAGCGCTGTGTGCGCCCTTGTTGGTACCAGCACCGTCTGAGAAGAAACAAGACAGGATCAGATCTGATACCGTAAATGGGGACAAAATAGCAAAACATACATTTAGTCTCCGTCACCACGTTGCCGGCACGACGCGCACTGTTGAGCGCCTCCTGCTTGGCAGCACCACGAGGAGGCGCACGGCTGCCCCATCCGGCCGACTCCCAGTCCTGTCCCTGTGAGTATCCGCTCGACTTGCTCATCTTGGCTCTATGTGGTGTATTCGCTCTTGCTGCTTGCGTGGCTTGTTGGAGTTTTACGAAGTGAGCGTACGGCAGATCGGTTACGGTGGGACCTTCACTCTTACCTTCCAGAACGTTTTACGAAGCATACTGAAAGCAAGATGTTAACGAAATCGAGTGCGACACACTAATGTCGTGTACGCTTCGTGTGGCTCGCCAGATGTCGCGCACAGATCAAGTGGACGAGCAAACATGGTGAAGACGGCAGGCCCCGATCTCAAGCGATACATGGACAAGCGGCTGAGCCTCAAGCTCAACGGCAACCGCAAGGTGTCCGGCGTGCTGCGCGGCTTCGACCAGTTCATGAACGTGACGCTGGATGAGACAATCGAGGAAGTCTCGGCTACTGAGTCCAACCGCATCGGCATGGTGGTAAGGCGGCAAATACTTCGGCGTGCATGTTTGTTGTGGCTATAATGAAGAGCTGACACTGTTTTGCGTGCTGACAGGTGATTCGAGGCAACAGCATCGTGCAGTTCGAGTGTCTCGAGCGGATTTAAGCTTCTAACTTCCAGCAGATGTGGCTTCAATCTACAGTGAGCAAGCTATGACGGTAGTATATTTCGTTTTGACCTCCTGGTAGTGTTGCCTTCCCTGCTACGGCTGTTGGTCCAGTGTGGCGTCATGGCAGGATAAACAGGGAGCTCCAATAATGTTAGACCCCGTTATTGGTCAGATCTCGCCACCTTCACGACCTCACACACTTCTACTCCGCTCTGATCAAGCTGAACTGGTTGCGAGGCATTCTAATGAGGCCTAGTTAGCCCTGCGAAGGTCCAGTTTCAGTCCTAATTGATAGTTAAGAGCCATGGTCTTTGCTAATTCAAAGTATGGAGATCGATAAACAGGAGTACAGATTTCGTAGCTTAAAAAATTGCGGGGCATACCGCCGCCACGTCTAATAGCGGCCACGGCCGCTGAAGCCACCCCTGCCTCCGCCGCGACCGCCTCCACGTCCGCCAAAGCCTCCTCCACGGCCTCCGCCACGTCCGCCGAATCCACCGCGTCCTCCTCCACGTCCACCAAATCCGCCACGGCCTCCACCACGACCTCCGCCGCGTCCACCACGGGCACCGCCACGTCCACCGCGTCCGCCACCACCTGTGGGCTTCTTGCCAGGCTTCTCCGTGAACCGGCTGAGCGGCAGCAGCTTATCGGGGCTAATGTAGACCTTGTCTCCAGCATGGAAGGACGCGGCAGACACGCCTGTGTCGGGCTTGACCGTGAACATGACCTCGTTAATGGAGCCAAGGATCTCGTCCACCTTGCCGATGCGCGTCTTGTTCTCCAGGAAGGCACCTGCGTTGAAGTAGGGCACCTTGTCGTTCGTGCTCTTGTACACCATCTCATTCTCGCACGCATGCATGAAGGAGCCCAGTTCTGTAGTTGCAATGAAAAGTATGAAATGTCAGTCGAATATCACATGGTAGTTATGTCCGTGAATGTAACGTACCAACAACGAAAGCCGGAGGTCCCTCAGGCTCGCGGAAGCCGCCACGACCGCCGCCACGGCCACCACCTCGACCACCTCCACGTCCTCCGCGTCCTCCACGAGCGCCTCCACGTCCACCCCGAAACGACATGGTAGCTGCTTGTCTAGCTATTGAGCAATTGACTTGCAAGGCGAAGAGCTCTTCAGCCAACCGATGGGTGGCGTTCAATTGGCCCGATTTTCAACGAATCACATGGTGCTATCATTTGATTGGATGTTATTTCTACGATTGAAAACTCCCGCGGGACGGCCCGCGGGTCCAATTGTAAAACCTCTAAATCGAGGTTAAATTTTCGTCTTATAATTTGTTGATACTTCACAAGACTAGCTCTATGTTCTCGTCGGATCCTGTAAGCTTTTCGATATAGACGGTTTATCGCTTTCGACAGCACCCATGATACTAGTCGATGCATCATGAAGCCGATCTTAGCTTGAAATGAGTTCAAGGTCCACATAGCTGACGAGTGAGTGATAAGAATGCCAAGTGAGACGGTCAAGTGAGGAATTTCTCTTTTACTACGTACTATCTTGTATTATTAAAATCACCATTAATTACATCCATGCCATCATACTTATACTGTTTTTTTAATACACGTACGAAATCTGGAATTTACGTACTCGGTTTGATGTCTTCGGCATTAACCTGTCTATCGTTGGATCGTGATTGATAGATATGGTTGCTTGGCGTTTCCGGACCGCCACTGTGCGCATGCAGGGAACCACTTCTAATTGTTAGCGGCGTTCAGCAATCAAGTTAACATGACGGACCAGTACGAGTTCCTCGAAGCATGGCTCATTGTTTTGCGCGATAGCTTGGTGCAAGAGCAGCTCAGTTCTGCTGAGTCACCGCTACGAGTCTCGCTCAGAATCAAGCATGATGCCCTCCATCAAACCTACACCGATGAAACGCTTTCTCTTCGACTTCCGATTGATCAAGAGAGCAGACGGAATAGGAATCGGCTGCAACGAAACGTGAGACCGTAGAACTATTCACGATCCTTTCATGAGTGGATGACAGAGCGTTTGCTAGGCTTTTTATCGGTGTCGGAAAATGTACATCAAGGAGGTTTCAGTATGGTTTATCCATGTTGGTAGTTGCTGATCTATGGAACACTGTCAATACTAGTATGTAAGTATTGTTTTGAACTAACTGTTAGTGTCGAGTAACATGGACTAACAGGACAGTGGAGTATTCTGCAGTTACGTGAGACCCACGACAGAGTTCATAATTATATTACTAAACGTCGCAGCGGTTGAGACAAACGCAATATTAGACTCAGAATACCGGCATCGACAAAATGAATTGCCATCGGTATGGAATACTCCGTAGTGGCTTCCACAGCACAACACTAAGCATTGCAAATTGAGAGGGAACTTGTTTTCCATTACTGGCAGAGTTTTTCCATACTGGGTTCCGTTTCTGCCATTTTATTCATGCCAAACGCCCGGTTTCATGACCCGACCAACGTTAATTTGACGAGATTTTGTTTATTTATACCAACGCTCCATATTTGAGGCATCTACAAGTATTAAAGGTGCATAATCCCTTGCCGTAGACTATCTTCGACGCCGCTATGACCACGTTAAATGCATTTATAAAAATATCTTTGAATGGTAGTGTGTGCTTTATTGAATTACGAGTTGTCAGCGTCGTGAGAGTTTCCTAGCTCAGAGAAGAACACTAGGAGCTTCCCCGACTGCTGCATTTGGTTTATCTGCCAATCTATAGCTCGATAACGGTGGATTTATCGCTTATAGCACGCCTGACCTAAATCCAGGTTATGTCCGAATACGACCCTTCACCCCAAATAATAATAATAAAAAAATAGTGGCGTGGAGCTGGAAAATGACAAAATGTAGATATTCTTAGATTTTGTTTTGAACATTCTTTGCGAGGCGTTTAACCTAATCGAATCCAGATTTTTTTGTCTATTATTCGAAAATCCTCATTTGGCTTGAGAAGACCAACATGTGCGTTGATAAAGTTGGAGTATCGATTTTTCCTGGTGGTAGGTTATTAAGCAGCACGAAAACCAACTAAATTGTAATAAAATTCACAAACAGTTGGAAAATCCGTACAAACAGTTACCACCTTATGATCGACAATTCGGTTTTCGGACCACAAAATCTTTCAAAAAAAAAAATCTAAGGGAGTGTCATACCGCAAAAAACTGACATTTTACTCTATTGTGTGATTTAATTGGCTACCTGTAACAAATACTTCAGTTAGCAACAATTTTCATTTTTCATCGACAATTTTGGGTAGTATTATGTTTTTTTTTTCATCGCAAGATCTTCAATTATAATCGATCTCAAGCAAAAAAAATATAGCGTGTTCCAGAGACAATTTCAAACACATTCATATGCAGCTTAAATCTTTACCGTGCTATGGGACGTCTTTAGAGAAGCCCCAGTATCGAGGTATTATTGGCTAATTTGCGTGCCACCTGCATCGAGCAAAATTTATGACCAAGCACAGGATACATAATGAGCTTTTTTTTTTTTTTTACCAATAAACACGCTAAAGTGTGGTCCACATTAGAACGAGGTTAAATTGAGCGCAACATTGCACAGTACCGTACTGTACTGTAGACCTTTTCAAATGTCGTAGTCAGCGTAGCTCACCTTTAGAGAAGTCCAGTTGTCTTATTTGACAGCTGTTAAGTTAAACACTGCCTTAACCCCCCCCCCCCCCCCCGATTATATGGTGGGACAGAGTGTTTAGGGACAATTATTGAAAGTGTTGGCAAATTTTTCGACACCATAACGGCCCGGATAGTTGACTCTAAGAATGGATCTCCGTGGTTTTGACTGTTGGGTGAGGATCCGGAAAAACAACGTGAAGCTTGTCTTAAGTATTAAAGCATTCATTGACAAAAATTCGTCTCTCTTGTTTATACTAACTGCAATTTCTGTTTTACCATGAATAGATTCTAAAAACAGTTGTCTAACTGTGAGATGATATCTTTTGACATTTCCACACGACAAAAGAAGCATTTTATTGGAGCGATTCCAGCAGCCGTTTGAACCGGTTCAAATCCAATATTAGCCCTACCCACAAAAAGGGGCGTTTTGTCTTAGGTGCGATATCTCTCAAATGAGATGACTTTCATTCCGCCTTGCACTTCAACCTCGACAGATTCATTCCGCATTCCGCGCCCAACGAGCCTCCATCAAGGACAGCAGCATTCGGGATGCCACGACGCGGAAGAGTCCCCGGTGTCGAGAACTACAGCCCCGAGGACGTGGAAAGGCTGTTAGAGATCATCGATGAAGTTCTTCCAACTGGAGCAAACGAGTGGGAGGTTGTGTTGCACCACTACGAGGACTACGCGAATGAGTTTGATCGCGCAAAGCGAGACCTTCCGTCTCTGCAGAAAAAGTTTAGCGTCCTGCTGAACGTGAAGAAGCCGACTGGAGATGCTAGTTGCCCGAATAATGTTACCATCGGTAGCAAACGCCAGAACGTTCGAGCAGTAGTGACTGCAGGCCCAGCCGTTATAATACGCGTTCTGAATATCATCAAATTCAGACTCTGCTACAGGAATGTTCACGCCGTCAACGAAGCAAAAACCCTTTGTCAGCAAGGGGTGACGCAACGAAATCATGCCAGCGTAGTCTGCAAAAACATCGTCATCGTCAGTCCCAGGCGTAGCTTCCGGGATGCTCTTGAACACCTCCAAAAGCATTTGCACCGAAAACGCCAAATACCGCGAGCACACCGACGGCGTCACGGCGAATATCTGCTGTAGGGAATACTCGGGCATGGTAGATCAGAGATAGTGGAGCACCAATCCGAGCGCTGCAGCAGCGGATAGGGAGCGACGATCCGGTCTGGATTCACCAGAAGCGTCGACGTCGTTTCTTGGTATGGGAGTGGAGCACCATCTTCAAGAATCAATCTGTCAACAGCAGTATAGTGATCCCAGAGCAGCATTTTTCCACTCTTTCTGGGCTCGAAACACGATAACAAGTAGTGGAAGCAGCTAAAGTCGAATCCAGTCGTTGTAATAACAACTCTATCGTTTCCAGCGCCATAAATCGCCTCCCATGCCGTGCCATAGCGTAGATCAGGATGCAGATCTGCTCTTTTAAGGTAGTGCTGGCCCCATTGTCGCTCACCCTTCTCTTGTTGACCCTGATGTGCGAGTGCTAGCATGAGAATGAGCGCGACGCCGTCTTCGCCGTCGCGTTTGGGCGATGCGGAACAGAGTGCATGTCTTGGCGGCGGGTAGACACGTTCAATTCTATTTTTAGAAAGGCCTTCAAAATAAAAGTTTAGGCACCTCAGATTGGCTACGGAAATCGCTCTATTAATAGTGGTGTGAAAAAAAATCAAAACTTGACAGCATTTCCGGCGATGCCTGTGGGTGTGTATCTTTTGTCATCTACAGTAGCACATATTTAACAACGGTCACGAAGAGATGGTGAGTTTGTCGAAAGACTTGAGTGGTGGGTACTGTATCCCAGATGGCACGTATACTGGAATGCTGTAGGCTATTCTACCATCGGTTCCAGAATATATATTTAAAAGTAAGAGAGCACTCACGAATTAAACCTGTATTGACTGCATTCGCAGCTTACCTC